GTGATTCATGGCCTGGCTAAATTATGTATTATATAAAGGTTTTCTTAAAAACTGCCCACAAATTCCTAAGCAAAGAATAGGAATTTGGGATGTTTAGATGGAACGTTTTCTACTGAGTCATTATTTCAAGCCACATAGGGTACCAAGCATGTTGTATAGACTATCCAAAGCTTCATATTTGGTTGGTTCATAAAAACATTGAAATGCAGATTATATTAACGTGTCCTGAGAGTGGCTTCTAAGCTAGAGGACAGGAAAGTAGTCCATAGGTAATACCATTTTTTTAAAGGAATCCAGGAAATTACAGCTAGTTATTTTAACTTCTTACTGAATACATTGGTAGAAAGATGGAATTGTTGTTAAAGATAGAAGTGCCAAGTATGTAGAAGGAGAGATCTTGCTGAATCAGCATGGCTTCTGCAGAGAGAAGTTTTGCCTCAGTAATCTTTTATAGATCTTTGGGAATGTCAGCAAGCTGGTGTGTAAGGCTGATTTTGTTGACATTGTTTACTTGGACTTTTTTAAAAAAGAAAACTCTTGACAAAGACCTGCATCAGAGATATTTGAACCACATCTGAAATAATGAGAGAAAATGATGGCCCAATAACTGGTTAAATGATAAAAAGAAGAGAGTACGAATAAAAGAATTGTTCTCACAAAGGAAGAGTGTAAACTGTTGGACTGGTACTATACTTAAAGTTATTCTTAAATTATTAGAACAGTGATGGATTCACTCTGTCTACAGCACCAATTTATTTCAGGAATCAAAACTAAAAAAGAAATGGTGAAGAGCTCTTGAAGGATCTCTGAAACTGGAGAAATAGAAAGAAAATGGTCTTCAGTATAAGCAACTGTAAAATAATGCATATGGAGGCAAAATATCCTATCCTCATTTATGTACTGATAGGGTTTCAATGGGTGCAATTGACCAAAAATGATGTTGGATTGTGATGAAAATGTTGACTTGGTTGTGAAGAAGTCAGTTTCAGGAGTGAATTTCTGAAAAGAATAATAATTTTAAAAATCCAGTCGATTTCTCAATGAATTTATAAAATTGTAGTTACTGTGGACAATTGAAATTCTGTGAACATTTTTTATCATTCATCTCAAACAAGATATTGTAACGTTGGAAAGGATACAATCAAGGAGCTAGAGGAAGTCCTCTATTAAGAAGGAATACAATCTTCATGGCATTTTAGCTTACAAAAATGGCACATTAGGGAGAACATGCTAAGGTATATAAAATAATGTTTTGTGTGAAAAAAGTAGACAGGCCTCTCATAATACTAGGATCTTGGATCACCCAATGAAATTTGGAAACACTGATTTTCTACCATAAGATATGATAAACATGGACTTTCTTAAACAGAGATTTGATAGATTCATGGAGTAATAAGGATAACAGTAGCTATTACTCATGATGACTATATATTACCTCCATTACGACAGATAGCATGTCACTGAGTACCAGCTGAGGGACTAAGTATTCCATATGTCAGCTGCTCTAAAGCATAGGCTTAATTTCAAGATATTTTCAGATAATTTATATCATTTGGCACCAAGTGTATGAAAGGTGAAGAAGACAAACAAAGGTAGATTTTCCTCCTGACCAATATCATACGTTGCATGCATAATAATGTGCAGGAGCAGCCTGTTTGAGCAAAGCCATGTTTATGCACAAAAGTTTTCTTCTCTAAATATAGATACTTGGATTGACCAGATTAAGGGCAAAACTTGAGAATGAAAAGTAAAAATAAAATGGAGGTGTGAGGAAGGGTGGATATGAACAATGCATAAAGGGAAAAAGGCTGTAGTTCCCTGACTTCTGGACTATTTAGAACCCTAAGCCCTGTGCAATCAAGGTTCTCTATCTAATGGAGGGTTGTAAGTTTTCCCTATCAACCCTGGGAGATCAACTAAAATCCAGGATCCTAGATTTCATCTTCATGCTTAATGCTTATACTTCAAATACTTAAAATGGGTTTTAATTATAAAAACATTCCATAATTTACAGGTTTTGTCAGCTAGATTTTGTGTGATGTATGTGTATTTATATGTCTTTTTACATGCACCCATTTGTTTGCTCAATAATTGAGTCCTTGCATTTGTTATTGGAAAGAATGATAATGTAGATATAAGAAAGGAGTAGTTTTCCTTTCTTAAGCACACCATTTAGAAAGCTGATAAGTGCAATGGCAGCCTGGTTTGTCAAATCAGATCTTGTTCACATCACTTGATTATAGGCATGAATATTTGAATTTAGCCCTTTGATTAATGTTGTGTTTAAGATGGCTTGAAAATTGGTGCTATAGTTATCATGTACTTCTCATGCATAGTTATTGCAATAATCCAATAATGAACATGCATGTCTGAATCAGTGTTCACTCATACCATGTTTCAAATGTTAACAATAGGGAGCCATTTTTATACATTCCTCTGTAGTGTAGAGAAATAGGAAGATATGTACTACAGCACCATGTCTAATTTGCATCACTTGCCAATGCATAATTGGCATAATTTAAATAAAATTTGCATGTTATTGTGGAAATTGTGATGTTATTTGTGCCATCTCTATTGTGAAATTAGAAATGGCAGTTCTTAGAGGGCTTTCTAGATTATCATTGGTTGACGGAGATAACTGCTTTTATTTGGACTTCAGCTATGAAATGTTAAAAAATGTATGTACTGGCAGATAAAGGTCAGTTTCTTGGCAGGCTGTGAAATGTGATAAAGTTTTTCAGTTAGCTAGGTTGACAAAAAAGCCCTTGTATTATTAACCTCAGTTGTTCAAATTATGGGTAAGCCTTTTGAAACCATGAGATAGAGAAATCATGAGACTGGAAGACATAATGAATCGAATATATATTAAACTTACCCTCTTTCTGAAACTCATATCATGCAGCTGCCTTTTGTACAATTTTGCTTTTTTGGTTTGCAAGCTAGAAACTTCATTGTTCTTAAAATCCATTTTCCCAGTTCGGGAACTATTCCAATAGTTGTACTATTGGGGAAGGAATGAGGAGTGAGATTCTAGATATTTTAAGGCCTGCATTCTCTTCCACACAATATAATTTCTGTACAGAAGTGAAATGACTTGTATACTGTATAGAAGATCTTGTGCGCCTCATATATACCTATCATGGGTAGAAAACATGCTTGTGGCTATTACCCTGAATGTACACTCAGTTAAAAGAAGTCTGTCGATTGGATGAATGCCCCAGTGGATGATACACAGAGTAAATTAGACAAGTGTCTCAAGTGATTCTTCCCTCAGTGCAGCAATGACCTTAATTCTCTTCTAATGTACATATATTCTCATAGTATCAGGTTAAAGAATATATTATTCATAATGATAGTCATATTCACTCACTTTTACAATATTCTGTTTTATTCTTAATTTTGAACAGCCAAGCTTCTTAATAAGGTTAGCCTTATATTTGAATACTGAACTTTTCCTGCTTTCATCTTTCCTGCATTCAGTGTCTTCTGGTACTGTTCATCATAGTCATAATCACATATTGTTGTGTGGAACCTTAAATTTATTCCCATGGCAAACTTGTGAGGCAGTTCAGTATGCACATTTTACAAGGTGACTTGAAGCTGACTTGTATGTGGCCACACAATGATTTGATTCACACATGATACTATCCCATTATTTGCTAAGTAAACCATAATTGACTTGGCTTACACCACATGCTAAGTGATCAACACTGCTTTACAAGCCACAGTGGTTTACTTTCCACAACATGCTAAACCAAAAACAAACTATGTTTTGGGTTAGCACAATACGTGAACCCAGCCAGTGTCCATAGAACTGAAGGGATCTGCACCCATTTCTCTGTGATGCAATTCATGCTCTCTCAGTTCATATTCTGTAGAGAACTTATATGTTTTACATGTCCATGGAGACAATATTGTGTCTTTCACCTAAATATGGAAATATTTCTTTCCTTCCTATTAAAATAGCTGATTTTACAGAGTGAGTTCTAATCAGTGTTGCAAATTCAAGTTGGCATTTATTTGTTTGTCCCACCCTGGCAGAGTATCTAAATGCAGGCATTTACAGGTTATAGATCATGGAGTCTACATCTAGCTGGCCTAAGTTTATGTTTTATGTCACAACCAGAGGCTTGTTATTACTTTGCTATTAACTTTATGCTATATAGGACAGTATCTTGGAGACAGAGGGATCTGTCTTTTTGGCATTTATCCGCCTCTGTGGCACAAACAATCAAAGATGATTCTTTCACAGAAAAATTACCTATTCCTCCTGTTTTCTTCCCAAAAAGCAGTACAATGTACCTTCCACTGGATTCAGTATACTCAGGCTGATGTCATGGCTCTTCCCTCCCCCATTTCTTTTCCTTTTGTTTGTTGCACCCTGCTTCAGAAT